ACGACGACGAGGCGGAGGAGGAGGAGGAGGAGGAGGTTGAGGAAGCTGAATGAGATCATAATCATGGACCGGAAATGGAGAAGGAGACGGATAAGGAAATGGATATGGAGAAAGGCGAAGTGGAGAATGTAGGAGCAGTCGGAGGAGTAGTGGTGGCAGAGAGGAGGAGGAGGAGGTTGGTCGCGGGCGGAGTCCTGGCGGCATGCGCGACTGCGCCGCTCGGTGCCACAGGGGACCTTCCAGGCTGCGCGGCAGCTGTATTCCCAGCGCTCCTTTTCCGCATATCTTGTTTTGTTTAGACTGTACTTCTCTCCCTTTCCTCGTCTTCCCATTTCTCCTCCTCCTCCTCCTCCTCCTCCTCCTCCTCCTCCTCCCTCCCCTACGAGGCCTAGGTTCGGGCGGTTCCCCGCCGCTCGTGGCTCAACGCAGCGCGCAGCAGGGCAGCAGCCAACACACGGAAGGAGCTAAAATGGTCGACTCGATGTAGCTTCGAGCTTGCCTAAGTACCCGTGGCCGTCTCGTGGCCATCCTTACCCGTACTGGTGAATCCGGCACCAGAGCATTGCCAAGGGCATCACTGAACGGTGCGACAGGCTCCCCGAGCATCCGCAGCCATCGTAGAGCGCGGTGCGCTTTGTCTTCGTGGCGCGTTCCCGTTGCTGCTGCATGTGCTTTCCCCCGCGGTGATGCTGAGCCACACGTTGCTCTTGCCACTTCTGACGCGAGGGAGGCGAGCAGGGATGGAGGGAGGCCGCGATGCGCTGGGGAGGGGAGGTTGGCGCGCGAGGACATCGCGATCCCCCTCCGACCTTTGAGATTGTGGAGCTGACCGGCACCACCGTCACCACCACCACCACCACCACGCCGGAGCACGACTGCGAGGGCGGCTCGCCGAGCTGGCACCAGTGGTCGTCCGCGAAGAGGGCGGCCCACGGGGGGGCCGAGCGCGTCCTCCCGATCCCGTCCCTCGTGCCACTGATCCCGCTTCAGCCCCTGCCCCATTCGTCACCACCCACCAAACCACCCCAGCCCAACCCGAAGGCCTCAATTTGCCCTCCATTTCCAGTTGGGGGGGGGGTCGGGGAACACTGCAAAAACACATATGGAACCCGTACCCCCCCAACCCGAAATTGGGGTCTTCGGGTTGGGTTGGGGTGGTCTGGTAGGTAGTCAATTCGAGGGGCAAAAGCATGCCAGTCGACCCGCACAGTCAGGAGGGGCAACCTTCCCGAGGGTGCCCCTGGCAGCCCTGCCCCTTCGGCCCAGCCTTGGCGCCTTTCGCCGGCCATCCTCGCTCGAGGAACGCGAGCATGGCCCCCCAGGGGCCCCCCACTGCCCCTGCTGCATCCTTACCGCGCATCCCTATGGTACGGGTTCACTGTGCATCGACATCATCTCTTGGAGGTCCGCCGATCGAAGAAGTCCGCGCGGACCTCCGCAGCTTCATGCTTATGCCGTTTTTGTGCGCCGCCCGATCCAGATCCAGATCCGCCAGGAAGAAGAGGAGGAGGAGGAGGAGGAGGAGCAGGAGGAGGAGGAGGAGGAGGAGGTGCTGCTCACCGTCCTTGAGACGCCCGCGCCGCCGACGCCCCGGAGCCACGCAGCGCAGTCGAGGGAAACACGGCGACGGTACGCGGGGTCTGCTACCCAGGGCTTGGCCGATTCATGCGGACCCTCCTCGTGTCCAGGAGCCGTATGCTTTGCTGTAACTGTTGCGAAGGCCTCACGGCCGGTGCCACCGACCCTGAAGGACGACGACGACGACGACGACGACGACGACGACGACGACGACGACGACGACGACGACGACGACAACGGCGGCGACGACGACGGCGATGCTGACGTGGGCCAGAGTCCTCAGGGATGCTTCTTGGGGCCTCTTCGGATGGCTCTTGGGGGCCTCTGGGGATGACTTGTTGGGGCCTCTTAGGACCCTCTTGGGGGCCTCTTGGGAGCCTCTTGGGGACCTCTTCGCTCTTCCTGGGGAGCCGCATACCTGCTACAGCTATTGTTGCGTGCTCTCTGCGCACCTCGCAGCAGAAGCGCTCTTGACCAGGGGGGCCACGCTCCCAAACATGCCTTGCTACTCGGCACGGGCTGCGTGGGCCCCCCTCCATTCGACGAGACCCTCGGCCTCCTGCGCCTCCTCCTGCAGGCTCACGGCTCCGGCTTCCCTCTCCGCGGGGAGCGGCAGATCCCTGCTGTGTCTCGTGGCCCCCTCGCTCCCTCGGGGGGATCCCTCGGCCGGCGTGTCCTCATCCACTGCTTCATTGCTGCAGGCCGCAAGGGTTTGGTCCTGCCGACTGGCACGCAGACCCGGCGTCCGTGGAAGGAGGGAGCACGCTGGACAGCAGGGCCAGAAGCTTCTCCCCCTTTCTCCCTCGCTCCCTCCCTCTCCTCCTCCTGCTCCTCCTCCTCCTCCTCTTCCCCTTCGAAGGCAAGTCCAGACCAGCGGGATTTTAGGCCTCCCGACGGCGTCTTCTGAAGGATCAGGGGGTTCAAAGCCAACGATTGTCTGCCCTGGGCCTCTTCGAGAAGTGGTCGAGGTCCTCTGCGCCAACTTGGGTCATCCTGCGCCACGCCGGAGGCCATCTTGGGCCACCTGGAGCCGTCTTGGACACCAGCTCGGGCCCTCTTGGACGCTCGAAGCGCTGGAGACCCCCCCACTCTAGCCCAGAACCTCGGAGACCCGACGCTGCGATAACAATGCAACATCGTGAAAAGTCACGACTCGAGTTACCAGCTTGGGCCATCTTTGACGCTCGAAGTGCTGGAGACCCCCCCCTCTGGTCCAGAACCTCGGATACCCAACGCTGCGAAAACAATGCAACATCGTGAAACATCACGACTGGAGTTACCAGCTTGGGCCATCTTGGACGCTCGAAGTGCTGGGGAGCCACCCCCCTGGCCCAGAACCTCGGAGAACCGACGCTGCGAAAACAATGCACCACCGTGAAAAGTCACGGCTGGAGCCCTACAGACCACATCGTTCTGCTTCCTTTTTTGGAGCCGGATCAATCCGTGAGGGCCTTGGGCCCAAAATTTCCCGGTGAGACGCCTGGCGTCAGAACAGATAATGCAGCGCCCGGATCTCTCCGGGACGGAAGGGGCTCCGCCTCCTCCTGTCCCTCCCCCTCCTTCTCCTCTTCCTCCTCCTCCTCCTCCTCCTCCTCTCTTTCTCCCCCTCCCCCCTCCTCCCTCCTCCCTCCTCCTTCCTCCTCCTCCCCTCCTCCTCCTCCTCCCTCCTCCATCCTCCTCCTCCTCCCTCCTCCTCCTTCTCCTCCTCTCCTCCTCCTCCTCCTCCTCCTCCCTCCTCCTCCTCCTCCTCCTCCTTCTCCTTCCTCTTCCTTCTCTTAGGTGGCTCCCCAGCGTGGCCCCGCCCCGCCCCCGCGCAGCCATGTTGCCCGCGGGCGGCGCCGCGGGGCCCGCGCCATCGGGAGCCCCCAGGCCCACGGAGGGTCGCCGAGGCCTGAAGAGGCCTCCTCGCCCGCCTGGCACAGGCGCGTCTGACGAGCGCGAAGCGAGGCCCGCAGGCGGCCACGAGCTGAACAACTGCGACTGCTGCTCGACTCCCACCACGGAAGCATGTCGCCTGCCACCGCATCAGTCCTGGTGGTGGAACAGCACCCTCGAGCGCAACGACTACTGGTGCAGCTGCGGCTGTCGCGTGGCCAGGCCCAAGACGGGCAAGCCGCAGCAGTGGCAGCAGCAGCAGCAGCAGCAGCAGCAGCAGTAGCACAACTGGTGGCAGCAGCAGCAGCAGTCCATCGGCGAGCGCAGTGCGAGACCCCGTGGCGGTGAAGACGGTCACGGAGTCCATAGGCACGCTGTAGCTCGCCAGCGGGGACGCCATCGCGAAGCAGCTCGCGGGCGTCGCGGATGCGCTCCAGGAGGCGCCGAAGCCGCAGACCAAGTCGCACGCCGCGCGCTTGGCAGAGACGGCGGAGGAGCTCGAGCACGCCAACAAGCAGTACAAGTGGGCGTTCGAGCAGGCGGAGATCGCGCAGCAGAAGGCCGAGAAGGCCAAATCCGCCCTGCAGGAGCGCGTGGGCGCGGTCGTCGCGCAGGCCGAGCGCGCGGTCGAGGATGTCCGGCAGGAGGGCAGGCCGAGCGCGCGATCGAGCCAGCGCAGCATCTTCGAGCAGCTGCTCGACACGGGCGCGGACCTGCTCTCGCCGAGCGACGTTCCGATCGCCAAGCTCGGGCGATCTGGACGAGCAAGGTCGCAAGGCGGTCGACGACGCCAAGCGTCAGGTGCTGGAGCAGCTGCAGAGGGACACCAGGGAGTTCGCGGGCCAGCTGAAGCAGCACCTCCAGGCGGCGAGGCTGAAGGCGGAGCAGGAGAAAGCCGAGATCCAACGGGCCGCAGCAGCCGACGACGACGAGCCCACGGGGACGAAGGATACCGACGCTGCGGAGGACTACCTCCAACAGCGGCGGACCGCGGCGGCCTCCTCGGAGGCCCCCGCGACCCGCTGATGGTCACGGCGCGGTGGGAGGAGGCAGTTTGGCGACGACTCCCACCTCGAGTGCCCTACCTTCTGCGCCAACATCACTCGGTGGGGCCCGGCGGTCATGAGTTGGCATGGAGCACGGCAGCCGCGCGACGTCTACGCGTTGCAGGCGACCCACCTGGCCCACCACGGGCTCGACAGCACGGAGCACAAGCTGCAGCAGGCGGGTTTCTCAGCAGCGTTCACAGCAGCGCGGGCAAGCGACAGAAGCGAGACATGCACTTGCGGAGGCACGGCAGTTCTCGTCAAGGGCCACCTCATGGCGACGCCGCGCCGACACCAGGGACCACGCGCTGCAGTTTCGGGCGCAACCACATCAGACGCCCACGGCTCGCAGCACGACACCTTCAACATGTGCGACTGGACGTTAGTCACTCTGCGCATGCGCGGTTCACAGCTCCTCATTATCCCCATCTACCTGGGCCCGTCCCACTCCACCACCAGCGGCGAGAACTCGAGGAAGTTAGCGTCGCTGGCCGCGTTCCTCAGCACGGCGCACACCTTGGTTACTCTGCGGCGACTTCAACAGGCCGCGCGAAGACATGGAACAATCAGGATGGGCAGACGCCCTCGGAGCTACAGCATACGCCGGGCTCGACAACGACCAGCACACCTGCTTCTTTGGCGACGCCTCGCCCTCCAACGCCGACTGCGCGTTGGTCAGCGACGGCGGGCAACGACCCGCGCGAGGAATGCAACCAGTGCGCGACGTACCTAGGCAGCCACACATCGGGTTCGACATCGCCATCAGAGCAGACGTGGACTTCAACCTCAGCCGACGACTCCAGCTACCGAAGGCCTTCCCACGCCCAGCACAGCCCAAGACGACCATGACGACAGAGAAGACGAAGAGACAGAGGAGCACAGCGACTACGCCCACGACCGCGACGCCGTTCGACCAATACGCGGAGGACTCAGCACGATGGGAAGCGCTTGGGCCACACGGATGGCAACGCCACCCAACCACAGCTACCACGACTACTCCCACCACAGCGCCACCACCACGACACAGCACGATGGACGAAGATGGTGGCGACCCTTTCGACTTTGTGGGCGACGACCTCAGCGAGTCCGCCCAACGCCACGACGCCCAACCACCACGCCGCCACTTGGACGACGCCTACGACATGGACCACCTCCACGACGCCACCTGAGGCACGAAGAGCCAAGGCCAGCATTATGGAGAACACCACCAGGGCGCCGAATTCGGAGTGGAACGACGACATGGGCTGCACAGGCGCTCAAAGGGCGCCGTGGCAGATGCCGCTACTCGATCGACTAAATGCATGTGCACACGGGGCCGACACCAACAACATGGACGATACGTGGGAGGTGGCAAACATGATGCACCGCGGCCCCACCAGCACCGCCCCGCCCTACATCCAGAACTGCGCCGCCGACCAGGTCGACCCCGACAGCGCCGACCAGCTATAGGCGCGACATGCCAACACCTCATCAGCACGCTCGAGACGTTCTACTTCATCGCGTACCACATCTCGCTGGAGGACCGACACCACTTCCTCGGACGCGGACAGGCATCCGAGTTCAAGACGCAACAGACACGAACACCAGACCACCAACAACGGCACGCACCCCACAGATCCGACTGGTGGAGCCGCGCGGAGAACGTCCTCAGCACACTGGTCAAGCTACGACAGCGAGCACACGGGCAGCAACAACAACGCAGTCTACACGCCGAAGGACGACGCCTGGTACGAGAAGGACTGCCACCACCCGGACGCCATGCATCAGACTCGGCACGATCGCACCACCAACTTTGGAAACGACGACTCAACAACCTCGATTACATTCCAACTGACGCACTCCAGGGCATGGCCCAACAAGCGCAGGACGAGGATATCAACGCCCTCCGACTTGAATTACGCATCAGCCAACGCGAGTGCAGCGCGTGGCTCGCGACAGCCAGCATGACACCTGGAGCGCCACGCAAGATCGCCGAACCAGCGCCGCGCCGGGAACCAGAAGTCTTAATTCAAGGCGAAGTACTAAGCAGCCCGCTCGAAATCGTCGACGCCAAGGCCACATACTTCACCAAGACCTGGGCATGCAGCGGCATGCCACACCCCCAGCACCCAGCACTACTAACCGCGCTCCGTGAACGAGCACGACACGAAGACCCCGCTCCACCATGGGCCGTGGAGGACCGCGACCGCTGCCTCAAAGGCGAGCCCGACGCGGGCAACGGCGTCGACGTCATCAGGCGCAGCGACATACGGCGCCCACCACGACAAGGGCGCCAAGCAGTCATCGACCTCTTCAACCCATGCGAGCACCGACTAATGTGGCCATGGCAGTGTCTGCTTTCCATCGTCATGGTCATTCCAAAGCCGAAACAAGGACGCCGTGCGCTGGCGCTACTGCCACAACTCTTCAGATGCTGGGAGCTCCTACACAGAGACCGAATCCGTCAATGGGCTGCAGACCAAGAGCGCGAATGGGATGCCGCCATCGCGGGCAACAGCGGCCTGCGCGAGGCGCTACGACGACCCATCGCGGACGAGTGCGCCGACATGTTCAACGTGGCCGAGTCCATCCTCCTGGCAGACATCGAGAAGTTCTTCGACAGCCTTCGGATCGACAAGACCATCCCGGCCGCGCTCCACATGCAGTTCCCAGCGCGGCCACTCTACCCCATGATGCTACAACAATCCGCAGCGCGAGTACTACGACGACCAGGGTCGTACTCCAACCCGCTCTACGCAGACCGCTCCATCTTGGCAGGCTCACACATGCCAACCATGTAGCGCGCGCTGTAGTATACGCGGCGATGTCCAAGCTCACCGATGCCAGCACATTACCACGACCTCTACCACGCGTTTGGTTCGATGACATCAGCATCCGCATCGTGGGCAGCAGTTCCCAGATCACCGCTGCCACCGGGACCGCCACCCACAGCCTCTTCCTTGTACTACAGGAACAGGGGCCCCGACTTGCAGACAAAACCACACTGATGACCACAAACATCAAAGACACCACGCCGAAGAGGGGGCCAGCAGCATCGGCGAGATGATCCACGCAGACAAAAGATCAGCACATCAAACGGGTCGCCCCTGGTCATCTATGGAGACGGATCGGGAGGCGCGCGCAGCGCTGACTGGCGGTGCCATAGATGTGGATGGGCTTGGGCGCGGCTACCAGGCCCCGACAACGACGGCTTCAACATTGCAGCAGCGCGCTTCGGCCCCCTACCACGCAGACGACAGACAAGCAACCGAGCAGAACTATGGGCCCTCCTAGACTGCATACGCCACACCACTGAACCACTACACTACTGGGCGGACAGCGAACTCGTGCACAAGGGATGGCGCGACAGACGGTATCGGAACAAAGCCACAGCCGACACCAACGACAACCGCCGCGACGACCAGGGGCCATCTCACATAGCTGTCCACCACATCAACAGCCACCTCACTTGGGAGGAAGCACAAGCACGAGGGCTTCCCCCCCCACGCGTGGTACGGCAACAGCCAGGTGGACAAGCTTGCAGAGAAAGCATCCCACGAACACGACATCGGCGACGTCCACATGTCATGCTATGGCTGGGCCAACGCTACGGCAGCACTTGTACGACGCCGCATCGCGGCCGCCACAGTCGACGCCAATGACCGACGCCCAACAGAGGACCACGAAGTTCGAGCAGCACGAAGAGCCCAGTTAAAGCAACGACGCGCACAGCAAAGACGTCGACGGGATTACTTTGCCGACGGACCACCACAGCCTGACGGACGACGCCCACTCACCGCCCACGGCCTGACGAGGCCACGACGTGGGACAGGATGGGTGCGCAAGTACTGCACGCAACGGGTTGCACGGGACCCCAGCTTCGCAGGAACGCAAACTTGGTTCCAACAGGGCTGCGCTGGACCACCACCGAGCCGAGGACACTCCATCACTCAGCGCGGCCACGCTGCACACCGCAGTCGCCCACTCATCTTCATACGTGCAGAGACACGCTGGGTCTGCGGGCAATGTGGTGCCACTACTACAGAGCACATTTCAGAAAAGATGCGCGCCGAATGCACAGGGCGCCCTGGGTGCAACAGCCTCAGATACAAGCTGCAACGGTGGCTCGACACCGCAGCGCATGAGTCCAGCAACAACCCGACGGCAGCGACGGACGCAGCACAGACATGCCCAGCGACGACGCCCAGCCAGAAACACACACACAGAAGGACAGCAACCAGTACAGCAGCATGGCGACATTGAGCACCAGCAGCAGCAGCAGCGCGACGTTGCGTCCAGCACCAGCACCAGCAGCACTCCCGGGGCACAACCTGCTGCGAACATCGGCGCGGAGGGGGAGGACGAACACTCCCTGCGCCCGCGCGCGGGGGCAGTTGGGGGAAGTCAGCGGGGAGATGCATTTGAAGGCCCTCGCCCGCGGAACCTGACTGCTCCAACCCAGCCAGACGAGCCACGCAGCCGATGCAGCGCCGTCGCGGAGAGGGACGAGATCCCAGCACCACCTCCAGCAGCACCACCTCCAGCCCCAGCGACAGCTGAGGGATGCGCCGAGGAGAGGAGGAGGAGATGGGCGCAACGACTCCTCGGCGCGGCGACCAGCCAGCAACGCAACGGAGAGCAGCAGCACGACAACGAACAGCACGACGCGCAGCACCCACAGCAGCAGCACCACTGTGACTAGCACGTCGACAGCAGTACCATTGTGACCAGCACGACGAGCAGCGTGACTGGGCTGGGCGATGCAGCTACTGCCACCTTCCCTGCAAGGCATGTCGCGCAGGGTGCCAAGCACTCGCGTGCTGGCGGGCGCTGCGCGGGGTGCTGAGGATGTCGGGGGTGGGCCGCGTCCTTCGCAGAGGGCGCGCTCGGCCCCGCGGCTCCGCGCGCCTCCGCAAGACGCGCGCGGAGAGGTGGGCGGCCCCCGGGGGCGCGGCCCACCCGGGCCGAGCTGCGGCCCGTGCGCGGCCCGCGCGGGGCGGACTGAGACAACCCAGCAAGACGATGCCGTTGCGGGGTGCAGTGCCGTCGCGGGCTGGGACGAGACTCCGACGCCACCGCCAGCTCCAGCGACAGCAGTGGAGAGCGACGAGGAGAGAAGGAGGAGATGGGTGCTACGACTCCTCGGCGCGGCTACTAGCCAGCAACACAACGGAGAGCAGCAGCGCGACGACGAACGGCACGACGTGCAGCACCCGCGGCAGCAGAACCACCGTGACCAGCACGTCGACAGCACGACGCGCAGCGGGACTGGACTGGACGATTCAGCAACTGCCACCTTCCCTGGAAGGCATGTCTTGCAGGGTGCCCAGCACGTGCGTGCTGGGGGTGCTGCGCGGGGTGCCGAGGATCTCGGGGGTGGACCGTGTCCTACACAGAGGGCGCGCTCGGCCCCACGGCTCTACGCGCCTCCGCAAGACGCGCGTGGAGAGGTGGGCGGCCCCCAGGGGCGCGGCCCACCCGAGCCGCGGCCCGCGCGCGGTCCGCGCGGGGCGGCCGCCGCGGGCGATGCGCGGCGGACAGACAGCCATCGCGGCTGGGGGGGAACTCTTCGAAACTCCTCTTCCTTCTCCTCCTCCCCCTCCTCCCCCTCCTCCTCCTTCTCGGACGAGCTGATCCACTGCGCAGCCTGCGCCCTGAGGGCCGGTTGGCCTCTGGCGCGCAGGCGTCAGTTCGCGGCCCTGCTCGAAACAGGAGAGCCGAGGAAGTACAGTAGACCCGCAGGGTAAGAACGGGCAACCTTCCCAAGGGCACCCTTGCATCCTTCCCTCCTCGGTTCATCCTTGGCCACTCTCGTTGGCCGCGCCCCGCTCGAATCGAGGAATGAAAAACGCCATAAACATAAACTTGTCATGCTCCGCGCGGATTTCTTGGATCCGCGCTGGGCCCCCCCGGCGGCGCCTCCGGCGCCGCCCCTGGCGCGCTCGAGGGCTCCAGCGCAGACACAATTATGTTTATGGCGTGTATATCTATATATATATATATATATAATTCGATCGAAGTGCTTCGAAATGAGCGTCCAATGCCTTTGCACCCTTATCGCGCGCCCTTGTGATACGGGTTTCGACTGTACTGCGGCGGCGAGCAAGCAGACCGCGGGGACGCCCTTGCCTTAGCCCTCGGGCGGAGGCAGGGGGAAGAGGGGGGAGAGGCGGGGGACGAGAGGAGGGAGAGGGAAGGACGAGGAGAGGAGAGGACGAAAACCGCGTGGGGAGAGGGAGGAGGAGCAGGAGGGGAGGACGAGCAGGGATGAGAGAGGGAAAGGGGACGAGGCGATCTGCGCCAGGCTGGGAGAGGACGAGGGGAAGAGGGGAAGAGGTGATCTGCGCCAAGCTGGGAGTAGATGGGAGGAGCGAGATTGGGACGGAGAGGTGGAGAGAGGATGCGGAGAGGCGGGGGTAAGCAGGCAGGGCAAGCACGCTGGGTGCGCTCGCGCCGAATCGGACATCCGGAAGGGGGAGGGGGAGAGGAGGAGGAGGAGGAGGAGGAGGAGGAGGAGGAGGAGGAGGAGGAGGAGGAAGAGGGAAGGAGAGGGAGCGGGAGAGAAGGCGGGCGAGGGGAGAATGAAGAGAGGAAGCCTGCCCTCCCAGAAATCCGATGTCTTGATTTACGACACGGGGTCGCCAAAAGTCTCGACACCCCTCCCCCCAGGGGCCCGCTTTTCATCCCACTTCTTGTTTACGGCCTCGGGACCCCACGAGGGCCCCCCGAGGCCGAAACCTACGAACATGTTGCGTGCCGTTTTTTCCACGCGTTGGAAGTTTGGACTCCCGGTTTCTGATCCCCAGCGGTCTGGACCCACTCCCGAGGACCAGATTTTCATCGCGGGCTGTTCTTGTTGACAGTCCCAAGGCCCGATGCGGGCCCCCAGGGGCCGAAAATGGTTAAATCAAGTAGGAGGGCGGGGAGTGGAGCATTGAGGAGGAGCGGGGGAGGGAGGGAGGCGGGTCGAGGCGGAGGACGAAAAGGGAGAGGAGGAGAAGACGCAGGAGGAGGAGGAGGAGGAGGAGGAGGAGGAGGAGGAGGAGATGGAGGAGGAGATGGAGGAGGAGGAGGAGGGGGGGGAGGAGAAGGAGAGGAGGAGGAGGAGAAGGAGGAGGTGGAGGAGGAGGAGGAGGAGGAGGAGGAGGAGGAGGGAGAGCAGCACCACCACGACGGAGCCGTCGGGAAACTCGGCCCAGAGAGTGCGGCTGGCGCCGCTGGGGTAAGAGAAGGAGGAGGAGGAGGAGGAGGAGGAGGAGGAGGAGGAGGAGGAGGAGGAGGAGGAGGAGGAGGAGGAGGAGGAGGAGGAGGAGGGAGGAGGAGGGTCGTGTTGTTGTCTCGGCGTGAGGCTGTCTGGCTCTCGGGCTGTCGGCTCGGGCCTCCTGCGGCTGCTCGGGGCGACTGGGGCACCGCCAGAACGCTCTCGGCGAGGCGCAGCCGATGGAGGGCGTCTCGGGCCCCGAAAGCGCCCAAGAACCTCCAGCACCATCAGACTGCGTCCGAGAAGCTCCCCCCTTTCGACGGGGCTCCGCGAGCGGAGTGGCCTTCCAAGAAGGCAGGGGGCGGGGCTCCTCTAAAGGCAAGGGGGCTTCTCAAAGGTCTCCTCCTCCGCCTCCTCCTCCTCCTTTTTCTCCTCCTCCTCCCCCTCCCCCTCCTCCTCCTCCGCCTCCTCCTCCTCCTCCTCCTCCTCTTCCTCCTGCTCCTCCTCCTCCTCCTCCTCTTCCTCCTCCTCCTATGGGGTTCCCCTCCTCCCCGTTCCTGGGCTGCCTGGGGTCAGGCGGCGTGCTGCCCGAGGGTGCAGGGCGGCTGCCGGGACGAGGAGAGCAGCACCACCACGACGGAGCCGTCGGGGAGCTCGGCCCAGAGAGTGCGCCTGGCGCCGCTGGGATGAGAGGAGGAGGAGCAGGAAGAGGAGGAGGAGGAGGGAGGAGGAGGAGGAGGAGGAGGAGGAGGGGAAGAGGGGGAGGAAGGGGAGGAGGAAGGAGGGGGTGGAGGGAATCATGAGTAGTAGTAGTAGTAGTA